CCCCCCAAAGAAGTCAAGAAGTAGACGAAGTCACTTGTTATCAACACAAGCACACTCTTCTTAGAGAAGGTTGATTCTGAAACAGTAACCACACCTTTTCCATGGAAGTCATGTCAAATAAGGAAATACATTGCCGTCATACAACATACACTTGCCTTTTGAAAAACCTAACTGGCAATATAAATGCTTTTATGACTTCTGTTATAGAATCATAGAATCATAGAATCATTAAGGGTGGAAAAGACCTCTAAGATCATCGAGTCCAACCGTCATCCAACCGTCAACCCAACACCCCCATGCCCACTAAACCATGTCCCTAAGCGCCTCATCTACACGTCTTTTAAATACTTCCAGGGATGGTGACTCTACCACTTCCCTGGGCAGCCTGTTCCAAGGCCTGACCACTCTTTCAGTAAAGAAATTTTTCCTAATGTCCAGTCTAAACCTCCCTTGGCGCAACTTGAGGCCATTTCTTCTCGTCCTATCGCTGGTTACTTGGGAGAAGAGACCAACCCCCACCTCGCTACAACCTCCTTTCAGGTACTTGTAGAGCATGATGAGGTCTCCCCTCAGCCTCCTCTTCTCCAGGCTAAACAGCCCCAGTTCCCTCAGCCGCTCCTCATCAGACTTGTGCTCCAGGCCCTTCACCAGCTTCGTTGCCCTTCTCTGGACACGCTCCAGCACCTCAATGTCCTTCTTGTAGTGAGGGGCCCAAAACTGTTGCCCAGACTCAGGCAAGCTGAGCTCCAATTTAGTCCTAAGGCGGCAGAACATCTGCTTTCTAAGTAGAGCATTTGAATTTTGAATCACTGAATCACATTTAAAGAGAAATGCTGAGTTTTGTGAAGTGATCAGCAGCTAGTGGTAACAAGATTGCATCTTTTTGTACAATACAGCAAAATTAAGTACTTTCAAGCAGTATGAGATTCAACTTTAAAATGACTCAATCCAAAAGGAGAAAAGTTCATCATCTGGAAAAAAAACTCTGCAGAGAAGTCAATTTGTGAAATAGACAATAGGGAGACAAAAGAGCAAAGAGCTCACTGATTTAGAATCATTCCTTTAATCCCAATTCCAAGCTAATGTTTTAGGAGTAGCTGTGGCTCTTTTCTGTCTTGCTAGCTCTAACGTAAACGAAACAGTGCACAGTATCCCAGGTATTTTTACAAACAGCAAGAAAATGATCATAACCAAATTAAAGGAGGAACTATGCACAACTGACAGGTGTGTTGCATAAATACTATGTGAAACATGATTTAAACTAACTCAGTTTGTAAAGGAATGCAAAGTATTAAGACACTTCCAGTGTATTTGGAGAAATTTGCCACAGATGTATTGCTCACAACGTACCTGAAATACACACCCAGGTATTACTTTTTTCTCTAGGAGTAAATTTTTCCATAAGCCTCATCCTGGAGTCGTGTGTTCAGAAACACATCACAGTAAGTTTTTCATTACTTACACAAGTTACAGTTCAGCTTTTGCAAATATAAATCACAAAGCAAAAATTGCTTGATAATGAATGCTAATCTTACCTGGGACTTTGTCAACGGATGCAAAAACAGAGCGTTGCACTGTAGGATCACTGCTACCACGTCGTGACTGATCATAAAATCTAAATGGAAGGTGTTGGGCTGCAGCTGCAGAGCTGTGTCCAAAACCCAAAACAACTTCAGTTGAAGGCTGAACAGGAAGATCCAGGAGAGCTATGTTTAATCACAATTGATAATTTTTGTTAATCAAAAATACAGAAGAGTAGGTGAAAATAAAATCGATAGTTTGCTCAGGATCTTAAGACTAAACCAGATTGTTTTACATAACTTGCCTGCATTTACCTCTTAATTATGGTTACAATTGCATTGGAAAAGAAGAGACACAACATTTCTGGCAACCTTTTCTACCATTGCTGTCCACACCACATTTACACTAAGGAAGCCTCAGAACACAGTAGAGGAGAGAAAAGGATTACAGTAAGCTCCTTGCATTAAACAAGCCATAGGAGTTATTTAAAAAAAAAAAAAAACAACTTCTGATTTTCCCTGTACAAATAAAGTCATTTATTACTTACAACTGAACACTGCAGAAAGCCATTTAAACAGACAATCTGCTTTAAACTGGCAAAAAAAAGCCTTTGCATTACCATTCAACATAAAATTTTAATATTGAAATAGACCTGTATTAACCCCAAACTTGCTTTAAATTTTTTAACATGAAGCAAGCCATAAAAGTATGACATATGTATTTTGTAAATTCAAGGCATAAAACTCTTTAGTCAGCTTCCTACAGAACTATAAGACACTAAAATAATCTTAAACCATCTATAATCACAACAATTCTCTGGCCAACTCAATAATTTTAATACCAGCTATGACTTTGTTTTTCACAACTCTGATTAGTTCATTATTGCTCTTGGACAATCCAAGTAACTGAGATAGTTGGTGTCCTTTTTGATTTGCCCACCTATTTTCCTTCCTGTATTTCAGAGGTTCCTTTTCTATACTCAGCAATTCATTCAGTTTACTGGTAAGCTTCAATTTAGTCTTCACTCACTTAATATTCAAGTAATATTTTAATCACCCTTTGCTATTTACTCAAATTAACTCTTTCCTTCATCTCTTTGCATGCGTTTCCTCCAAACACAGAAATCTAGCTGCTGATACTCTGCTTAACATTTTGGATTGCTCATCATCACCACGTCCAAGCATTAAGCATTATCATCAACACTATCAGGACACCATCCAACTCAGGACTCAGGCAAGCTGAGCTCCAATTTAGTCCTAAGGCAGTAGAACATCTGCTTTCTAAGTAGGGCATTTGAATTTTAAATCACTGAATCACATTTAAAGATAAATACTGAGTTTTGTGAAATGATTTGCAGCTAGTGGCAACAAGCCAGGATTTCTTTTTCATCCTTTCTTTGATGTGTCTATCATTAAATATGGTAACACATATTTTACTCCAATAAAATCTATTGCTTGGAAACTAGACACTGGTTTACAGTTTTCTGTGGCACACCACTTCTTAGATTTTTCTAACACATCCTTATGTTACACAGTGACTTGCTGTGACATACAAGTCTTGTTACTCAGTCATTTCAGAATAACCATTCACCTGCTATTCTCTGCATTTTCATACGCCGAGCTTGGATACGGCCTTTTGCAAGACGTTGTTTTGCAATAATGCAGCGAATATGATCAGAAAAAATAAATGTAGCTTGAAGGATAGGAAATGGCTTAGAATGAGGACTTGAGGCAGGCTTATGAATTATTATGTTCAGAGCTCTACTGTCATCCTCTACTCCCGTCACCTGCATATCCTGAAAAGAAACAGAAGGCAAGTAACTAATGAAAAAGTTAGCATTTTTAAACTATAGATTAAATATCAACATTGAAAGAAAACCCTATGAATGCTCCACTAAAGCTCCTAAAAAACAGTTTCTGTGTTAAAAAAAAAAGGACTATGCAAGTTGTACAACCTTGGATTTAGTTCTTCAGAAACTGGTACTCGTAGAGATTAAGTCAGTTTAAAATTCAACTAAGTTATTTGAGCATAGTGAATTTTCAGGGAATACAAACAGGGTTGGCTAAGGCAAGAAAGAGACATAAATGAGAGAAACTTCTTAAAGCTTTTAAGATCATTTAGATAGCACAGACCATTTTGAAGTTACAACCTGTCACCTTCCCTGCCCGTGTAGGAAGATCAGAACTCTAGGAGAGTTCATTACTGTGCCACTTAAGGAAAGCACTTGGGACTCAATCCTAATGGTATACGATTTCAGTGTTCAAATGAACGCACCCAGTATATATTGGGGAAGTTACCTCATTTTCAAGTGTGCCTCTAGTTAGTTATGTAAACTTCTTCAGAAAACTAGAAATAGTTTAAAAGGCAGGAACTAGAAAAAAGACTAGTAACAGAAGAAACAAATAAGCATGGTACAGAGCTTAAATATATAAGCTTATACTGGTATTACTACTTATCCAACATAAACGTAGATTTTTCAGCTGAGAAAAAGTAACCACCCAGATTAAAATTTCTCTTACCTGCAAAAGGCCTGCAAACTTAACTACCCCCCATCCAAGTCTGGCAACGTCTGGCTCAACCAAACTCATCTGGTAAATATCCACAGCCAGGAATCTTTGAACTTGACCGCCATCCTTTGTTATGACTGTACAAGCAATTAGATCACTGTTATCTGAAGGAAGGAAGGAAGGAAGGAAGGAGGGAAGGAAAAAAGTTACATAGCTACTGAAGTTAAGGATTTGGGGTTTTGGTTGTTTTATGTGACATAAAATGTTAATATATAAATGTGTAATCATCTTTACAACACATTTAAAGTTATTCAAGTTGTTTGTTTTTTTTTTAATATATATTTTGCATTTCCCTATCATATTTATAGTTGCATAGGAAGGGCAGGATACATTTTAACAGTGGTTCAGATACCTTACAAGTTACATATAAGATGTCTTATAAGCACCTTGCTTTCTCTTATCACCTTCATTACCTTTTAGTATAAAAGGTCAATTCATTTCAGGGGTGAAATTGCAACAGTGTTGATTTCTCTCACTAAGTGGCAGTCTCAAAAAGCCTTGTTGAAAGGCCACAGATACAGTCCTACACCATTGCAGGCAATTATATCTACCTCATTATAAACTTAGGCTCCATTCTGACACAAGTTACATTTCTACAGGTCTGAAACCTGATTATTCTGACTGTTGGAAGCCTTTCAACTTCAAGACTATAAGGACTCTCCAGGCAAATTGTATCAGGTTTTTGCCAATATTTGTTAAGCGAGGTGACATTTTTCCTTTACCCACCCATTTTATTCATTTATATTGAATAAACATATCCTCTCTTAACAATTACTCTAGGACCCCTCAAACAAGCCCCAAAATACAGATCTCAAGAAGTAAATATACCATTCCCTGATCCTCCCACATCTTCTCACTGCACCTGTTCCAGTTCAAACCCATCATTCTTGAAAATCACCTTCTTTACACCAGCTGAAGTCTACTGAGCGCCCTAAAAACTGGCACTAATGCCTCCTAGCAGACCTTTGCTAATCTTACTAGAGTTGCTTTTTCTTTTGCTTCAGATTGATACTTACACTCACATACTTAATACACGCAGGTCTTTTTCCTCTCTCTCATCTAGTACAATTTATAGCAAGTAAAAGATTCTATGACCACACATGCTGTCCTGCCGAGTTCATCATCTTTGCAATTCTAGATGGTACTCCACATAATTTGATGGATTTAGCCAGCTAAGTTGCAGCATTTTAACTGTTTCCTGCAATAGTTTTGACTGGGTGTTTGTTTTGTTTTAGGATAGAAACCGTCCCACTTGAGAGCAATGAGTTCTATATTTTGCTTCTACCTTAGCCATTGTTTTTCGACACACTCGTTCTCCTTAGCGCTCTCATTCCTTAGTATTGCTAAGGCATTGATAGAGTCAGCAGTTTGGAGTTATTCATTCAAATAGCCTTTCCTAAAATGAGGGTTCAATGCAATATGCATCAATTGCTGTTAAGACGCACAAGGCTTTTTTTCTCTCCTATTCCACATACACATACTGTTTTTAAGGGTGCTGTATTTTTAGACGTGTGTCTATTTACTGAAATCAGTTTGATAAATTGTATCATTTACAGTAAGGTAAGTATCTTTCAAAAAGGCTGATTTTTATTCAGAGTTTTTATATCTATCTGAAAGGAGTTATTCTGACACACAAAATTCAATGTATCTCTAATACTTATAGCAGTGTCTCCATACTGAACACTGATGTTAGGTGCTCTTGCATATGAAACCCACCATTTTTCACGTTATTTACACAACGCATTAAAAATAATCCTGCTAAAGTTCAACTCTGTGTTCAGTATCTGAATTAAAACAATGGAAAAAATATCTGACTACTGTTTTTCTCCTCTTTAGTTTCCCATGGAAAAAAAAACCACCCTAAAAATAAAACTAGAAAAATTAGCTAAATGGATAGGAATGAGGCTGCAGGTTATACAAAACAGTAAAGCTTAAATTTACTTATCCAAACATCTAAACAAGTAGTTAACACCATATTTCATACTAGAAACATCTGTGGGATAGAGATAGACTACAAGTGGAAGCATACAGCTCTTCGCAGTGGCAGATCATACAACTAAGGACAACAGCCATAAATTACGGTTTGGGAGGTGGAGGAAATTCTTTTATGCGTAATACAGCACAGGAGGTTACCCAGAAAGGTTGTGGAATTTCTATCACCAAAGGTTTTCAAGTTCCAGAAAAACAAACCAAACACTCCTCCCAAAACCAACCTTCTCTTTCCCCCAAAAAACCCCCCACACAACTGAGACGTCCCTTCCAACTAACATTTCTACGATTCTACCAATTACCATTTACCAGCAGGATCCATTCAAAATTGATTGGGTGGTAGGAGAGAAAGGGAGGAAATATGGAACCCTAATATGATTAAAAGAGGATAATTAATGCCAATCCAGTGTGAATTTAGTGTGAGCTTTTGAAATTTGAGAAAACAAGTTTAATCAATAAATACAACACTGCTATTTTTCTGCAATACATACAGGACGTGATTCAGTTACATGAGAATTGATTGCTGTTACCTTCTCTATATGCTCTAGAAGGCTCAAGAAATCCATACAGGATTGGCAAATATTACTATAGGAGCCTATGGGAGATTTATTGCTTTTTAGAGAAGAAGCTGAGACACCAGGCAGAAAATCATAGGAGATCTAAAATGGCAATGTAGGCTATGTTTAGCCAACAGAATCTTACTCCAATATTATTGTACCAATGATATTCTAATAATCTGAACAACAAAAGACATGCATCAAAAGCTCTATCTAAATTTTTGATCCAAAAGTGTATCTGTATTTGCATATATTTTGTACCTACACATCTAGAAGTGGTAACAGAGGTATACATCTAATACATCCCTCCAGAAATTACTTTCTAATACCTTTCTAATACTTTCTTATTCCATCTTTTCATTTGTAACTGGAAAGCTTGAAGTTATTATCAACGTTTCTAAGTCATGGGAAAACAAGAATAATGCAAGTGTCATTTATTCTGAACTGGCCTGTAAATTTAGGCATAAAATACCCAAACATATTTGATTGTTTTGAAACGCGTAATATATACATCAGGGAATGAAAAACAGAAGACTTATAGTAGGAAGGATTGTAGCCAAGATTTAACTTCTCTGAAAGAGACTTAGAATTACAGCTGATAACAAAGCGAATGTATTTCTACAATAAAACGGCAGACATGATCTCTGAATGTACACAATAGGGTAATACCTCTGCTTTACACTGGTGTATTACTGTAACTCTGTGCTAGCTGAAGTACACACAGTTTTAAAGAAGCAGGCTGAAAGAAACTTGAAAGACCATCACAACAAAGACTGACATGAAAATTAGAAATACCTTTTTTTTTTTAAAAAAAAAGCAAAAAGGTTAATAATTCAACTAACTTAGTTTAAAGAATGCCTGGGAGACAGGAAGATTTTAATCCATACATAAATAGTACAAACGGGTAAGAGATTTAATACAGGGCCAATTCTAATAGACAAAAGCTACAAAGGGCAGCAGTTCCATAGTGAAAATAATTGACTGACGAAACTACACCATTGGTAGTCTGTTCCTTCACAGGACCAAGTTTCTAATCAAGAACTAACTTTTTTCTAGGAATACACTTTGGTTCAAACAGAACTAGCTTCAGAGAAGTTGTATGTAATGCCCAGGATATATGCAATGTTTTTTTCCAAGCCATCGAAACAGAATGAAACAAGAAAATCCCTATCAGCTATTAACTGAGAAGGAATTAATTCTCAAGCAGTTGCTATGACGAAACAAGGAGGGGCTTACTATATGGCCTATCCTCTATATTGCATAAACTCTTACAGCTGAAAAGCTGTAAGAAGTTTGAAGCAGTTTCAATAACAAGCATAAAGTGTTATCAGTGTTAATGAGCCCTTAAGGCTTTCAACAGTTACAGATGTGTTTCAAAACAGGACTCTGGAACGTGTCTGGTTACTTTTTAACTTGGGACCCTTTATTTATTGCCTCTTTCATTCTTTAATCCAATTAGTCCACCAACATTTATTTCAGTCGATACGAATTCCTGGAACAGCCCTATTCTTCTCAAGACCTGAAGTAAGTGGATTTGGACCCCTCTGAATATGTAACGTGAGGTTGCTGAATTTTGTGGATAACCTATTGTAAGATTCTCAACATATACGCCACAACACCAAATAGAGTTGTGAAGTTCTCAAATACTTGGTTTTGTCCAGTATTTACACAGCTTTTAGCGCAACAGCAAGCAGATTAAAATACTTGGAATTACTGCTGTACAAATTCAACTGCCTGACTACAAAAATGCAGTACTTAAGGTAAAGAACTCAAAAGGGCAGAAGTTGTTTTCCAGAGCAGAAAGTTTGCATTTTAGATCTGACGAAAACTTAAAAGTAAAGCTGTAAAAGTAAACTGTAAAAGTTTATCAAAAACAGAAAGGAAAATTACTCATTTATTAGACAACTGTTACAGGAATCTTTTGAGTTTATACAACTGAATGTACCCCATATACATGACTGTTTCTAGTTCACAGCTGCTGAAGCATCATAAGCTACAGTCATCCTTTACGACAAAAACAGAAGAGAAAGTGTGGTTAAACACACTTCCAGTGAACTGATCTGAGAATACTTACAACTGTGCTATAAAACAGTTACAGATACTCAACCACATTTACATGAAAGAATTTCAAGCCCAGTAAACTTCGGTACTATTGAAATTTGATTTGGGGACTGAATGGCTCACTGATGTTTCACTGCTGCAAAAAAATGTAGTGTCATTTCTGAAATTAACAGGAATGCTTCATTTTTCCTTATGCAAAATGAAGCTTGTAACCAGTTTGGACACTACACCTCCAAGAGATGGATCCAAGATTTCGCTGGACTTTCTCCAAGAAAAATACAACTTTTAGGAAATACAGCCAAGGAAGCAGAGTTCAAAGACTTCAGCTGCTTGCAGCGAAGATTTAAATTAGGTGAAAATATTGCATGAACACAGGCAATTATTTGCCCGGAAAGATTGTATTATATGAAGTCTTTATGAGTAGAACAGCTACTTTAGGAGATGGTCTAAATGTACTTGACCTGCCTCAGGGCTTGATCTTTAACGATTTTATAATT